CATTCTCATTACCATTCTGATACTGTAACCAAACGCACCCTTAGTGTTTATGTGTGAATAAAATGGTTTTAACCATTTGTTACGTCTTTCAAAGTCTTAACTATCTGTTAGGTCTGTTAGGTTTTAGTTTATGCATTTTGTTTGCAAATTTATTTTTGTTATTTTATTTAAGACCCTTGAGAAATGTTTTAAAAAGTTTTTTTTATTAATATAGTTCTTATCATTGACATATAACCTCCACTTAGGGGCATTACAAGTTATCTATGTGCTAAGCCTATTTTCCACTCGTGTGCAAAGGCATATTGTTATAGATTTTCATTTTGTCTTAGATAAGGTCCAGAATGGTGAACTATGGGCATCTCTTACATGTCATCTAATGATTAGTTTGGTCGATTCACTTACTAAGCCATTATCTCGAGGAGACTATAATCGATTAGAGTCAAGATTGGTTTTCTCTAAGGAAACTCTATCTTGAGGATGCATAATAAGAAAGGCGAAGAATCAAAAGCATGATGAGTTGTGTATATTTTATTTTTGGCGGTTTTTAGAATTTAGAAGGTTTCTATTAGGTAAACAATTCTTTATGTAATTGTAATAGTAAATTTTTACATTGTTAGTATTATCATCAATGAAAGAGTGCCTAAGCCATTCATAATTTCTCTTCTCTCTAAAATTCACTTATGATATCATTTTAGTATTGATCTTCTATATATGGTACCATATTCTAAATTAAGAGAATAAAATAAAAGGGGTGACGATGACTTGTTGGTTTCCAAAACGATTTTAAATGCAGAAGTGTGATTGTGCAGATCAAGTACAAACAAAATTTTCATAAAACCTTTATTGAACACTATAGAATATATTAATTCACAAGTTACAATAATTAATCTAATTAATTATGGTTATATCTAGTGACTGATTAAAATGATAACTTGAGTTCTTTAATTACGAATGTGTTGGAAAAACAACATCTAGTGCGTAGCAAAATTTTAAAATTTTTAATCAATACCAAAGCCAATGAAGAACATGTTCATGATGCTATATAACATAAATACTAAAGATCTAATCATACCTTTAGAGATTATGGAAACAACACGTCTGACAGATCAAAGCGTTCTAAACAGCAACCAAAAGAGCCTCAATCAATTGGTCTACTTTGCTATTATCATTTCCACGATCAGAGTGTGAGTGGGCACACATCGTTCAACCTCCCCTTGGTATTCTTGAAGTCTTTCCAACCACAAGAGAGTCAAAGGAAAAATAAATCTTGAGAATTGATGAGTTTTTCCTCTTAGGAACCCTTACCAATAGCCCCCAAAAAGTCTCTCTAGTGATCTAATAAATAATGGGACTTACCATGCTATTTATAGAGTTTGGAAAGTCATTCCCACAACAATTAAGTTTTTTGAAGTCTATTTCGCGTTGGAAATCACATTAAGTCGGTTTTGATATGTCAGCTTGTTGCTACCAGTCAACTGGTTCCAGTGGCTTTGTAAACTAACCGGTCTACCGGTGTATGACACAGAACATCCCAAAAGGTTACGTACCGACTGACCACCCCCATCACCGGTCTCAAGCTATTTAATATGAGAAACTTGCATAGAGCCTCAGTTTTAATTCAAGTAACCCAATGTAGAAGTTACTTGATTAAAATAGTCACTTTCCCATATTAAATAAAATTCAAAACAATAATTCAACCATTTTATCTAGAATTAATTTAACAATTAATTCACCCAATAAATTACTCATGAATTAATCACTGATCTCATATTGACTTTGAAACTTTTACGAAAATAACATTAGTTACCAATATGTAGGATATACGTTGTATCGTACAGGATTATATGAGCTAGTAAAGGAACCCGATAGACATATATAGATCAAGCTCCCATAATCACGACAATACTTGTTAACCTACAAGTTCATCACATGATTATAAAATCTAGCACTACTTTACTAAAAGCCTAGAGCTGCACTCTCAATCTACATAGTATATTTACAAAGCTCTGAATAGCTCTCATCCATGACTTATTATATCAGCGTATTATCCCCATCGTAAAATTCACTATTCGTACCAATACAAATAGTAAACATTAGATAACACAAAGAAGTCTAATGGTCGAGCGCTCGTATTTTTCAATCCCCGGATAATACCATGAGAAGATATCATTAACTCTTTATAGGAGCTAATGATTCCCAATCTATGAATAATAAATCCACGCACACAAGAGTCATACTCCTAATGTACCGGTAAGCATACCTTTACATAATGTCAGGATGTCTCTCTTTGGTACATCAAAGGATACAACTTAAGCATACAGATTTATTATTCATCTCAGGATTAAGATGAGCACATATAATTCGTCAAAAGTGAATTGTTTTATCCAAACGGAACTATTAATTAAAATAATTCAGCTTTGGTCTGATCCAATATAAATTACACCACTAGGAGCTATATCAATGTCTCTACCCATGGAATCTCACCTCTAACGACCAAGACAAGCTGTCTTCATTAGGAAGTAGACAACATAACAATTTAAACATGAATAAAACATCCAACTTTATTCTCTCGATTGCGGATCATATTTTTTAGATTGTCATCTTTAAATTCTTGTCTTCTGCATGTTCTTCTCATTACATGTGCGATCTAAAGACTTATAACGATAGTCTCAGACTTCCAATTTGCTTAACATACATTCAACTAATATGAACGTAAAGATGACATTATATAGATATATGAAATAAATAAATATTTATTAATAGTCAAAATGTCTCAAAAATATTGTTACATTTATTTCTAAGGGCACAAACGCTAACGTAACGTTCCTCTAAGCTTTCACATAACACCCAAATCTTCCTTGTCTATCCTTAGTTCTACAAAGACTGTGTGTGTGGGCACAACCTAAAACGAAATGCGATTAGTCACTTACTAGTTTTCTACCAACATCAACACATATACGAGGTGGAACTGGAAATGGAAGAACTTTTTTCCTTTTTTCCCTCTATGAAATTCGGCCACTATACAATTATATAGTAAAATCACATTCTCTAATTTTCGACTACCACCTATTTATAAGCTATTAGAGTTTCAATCAAACTCTAATTTATCTATAAGATAAGTCTTAAGAAAATTGGTGCGTAGTCTTTATTTTAAATCTCATTTAAAATCAACATGCATCCCATTTAATTTTAGAACAATTTTCTCTTTCCTGCTATGTGCAAAATTCAGCCACCACAAGGATAATTTCCTATGGGTGGCACCAATAGTGTAAGCCAGAAGGAGATAAAATTTCACTTTATCATGTTGCCTAATTTTGATTCAAATTCAAATACGCATTCAAAGTCAAACTTTAAACGTATTTGAATTCATAAGGAGATAAAATTCCACTTTATCATGTTATCCAATTTTGATTCAAATTCCATTATGCATTCAAAGTCAAACTTTAAACGTATTTGAATTCTAATTGGATAACTTGTCTAGCAAGTAAACTTAATAATTTGGAGAGCAAGCAACCGATATCAGAATCCTCCTCTACTTGTGGCATGTACATCATATAGTCCCACCAGATGTGTGTTCTAAAATTATATATTAAATAATCACATATTTAATATCCAATTAATTTACAATTAATTATTTTGAGTATTTTAATTTAGAATTTCATAATTCTAAATTTCCAATTTTAACTTTAATGATTACAAGTATGACATGGGACTCATGAACCTATAATATCAATCTCCAATAAAATCAGTAATTAATTAAGTTATTTAATTAATTAATAAATTCTATTAATTCCAAAGTTCCTCCACTATAAACTTAGAATTGCACTCTTGATATTATACACTTTAAATTATATCTATGAAACATAAATTTGATGTAGCCACTTCATATAGATCGATCCTCAATAAACAATTCATAATCAAAGTTTGGTGAAATCCATCAACCTCTCTAATTACATCTTTATTCTTGAGTACCATTGATCCTCTAATGAATAAATTTGGTGAAATTTGGTTCATGAAACAAATTCATGAACCAAGCTCATTACATTTTCTAATACCGAATCAACCCTTAAGGGAATTATATATAAGAATGAATGAATTTTATCTCGTGATATTAACATTCCTGGCTACTTTTTTCATCATGTCTGCAAGATACAAGTAATAGGATTTAGTAATCTTGAAATCCATACTAAGTAATTAGTCAAAAGACATGAATCTATAAATAGGAGTCTGCTAATAACTCAAGATTAAGATCATTTTATATATGACCATCGATAAGCTAAATTAGAATTTTTATAGTTAACGAAAATTAGTAGAAGTTCATATTGTGTCTAGTCTCAATAATCTCATTATGTAATATACACTCATTCGATATCCTCCATATCAACGATGCGGATAAGCTCGTTCCATTCTTAATAAGAATGACATGTATTAATAATGTTTTAATTAAAGATTCTAAAATTTAATTAAATTCATTATCCTTAAATATTATGCTCTAATATATAACACTTATACCCAATATTTAAGGTCACATAAATAGTCGTGCAATTTTCGATGATACTCACAAAGCAAATATAAAATATACATGCACATAAAAAATAAAATTTCTACTTTATTAAGTAATTAATAAAATCTGTTGAAGAAGGAGATATTCGGTATCGATGCCGAATATTAGGGATAATTAGGCTGATCATAGAAGATTAGGTCAAAGAGCATGATTGAAGAAGATTAGGAAAGTAGCGATTAGGATTGATTTTGTACAGTTATTAACATTCCATAGTTATTAGTCTTTCCTAGAATAGTTTTTCCCTGTAACTAGTATTTAAGTATACTTTGTAAATCTACCCAAGTATAATATACACATTATTTTCCTCTCCATATTCGCTTATATGGTATCAGAACGTTGATCCTTTTAATTCTCTTAACCTTAGTCGTCCTCTTACAACCCTAGAAGTCTTTTGAACCCTAGTCGTCCCAGCCATCCTTCCATAATGTCTGAAACTATGTCAGAGTCCACAAACACCTCTGTGAACCAGTCAAAAACCATTGAAATTGATTCATCCAGGCCACATGTTCCTACACATGATTCCCATTTTATCCAGATCACTACAATACGTTTGAATGGAGAAAATTTCCTGCGCTGGTCTCAGTCTGTACGCATGTACATCCGCAGGAGAGGGAAGATTGGCTACTTGACAGGAGAAAAGAAGGAACCTACCCAGGAAGATCCTTCTCATCCAACTTGGGATGCAGAAAACTCCATGGTGATGACGTGGTTGGTGAATTCCATGGAGGAAGAAATTAGCTCCAACTACATGTGTTACCACACTGCTAAGAAGCTTTGGGACAATATCAATCAAATATATTCAGACTTGAGAAATCAGTCCCCAGTGTATGAATTAACACTGAAACTTAGAGAAATCTGCCAAGGTGAGGGAAGTGTCACAAAATATTTTAATTCTCTGAGACCCTTGTGGCAGGATCTAGACCTATTCAGTGATTATGAGTGGAAATCTCCTAAGGATTGCAATCATTATAAGAAAATTGTGGAGGATAATCGTATTTTCAAATTTCTTATTGGACTCAATGTTGAGTTTGATAAGGTTAGAGGGAGAATAATCGGCAGACAACCCCTTACATCCCTTGGAGAAGTCTTTTCTAAGGTTCGTAGAGAAGAAAGTCATAGACTTGTCATGCTTGGCAAGAAAATACCAGGCCAAAATGTTGAGAACTCTGCCTTTGCCACTGCCAAGGCACATGCTAGCCATTTCAACCCTCAAAAATCTGAAGAGAAACCTCGTGTATGGTGTGATCACTGCAACAAGCCACGCCATATGCATGAAATGTGCTGGAAGCTTCACGGGAAACCAGCAAATTGGAAAGGCAAACATGAAGGCAGATTCAATTTCTCACCTGCTGCACATGAAGCCACGGCTATTCCCTTTAGCAAGGAGCATGTTGATCAAATCCTTAAGATGCTGAAATCTAACTCAAGATTATCGGCTACTCCTAGTGCTTCTCTTGCTCAATCAGGTAGAGAATCGGTGCCCTTATCTTGTTTTTCATATTCTACTCCTTGGATAATAGATTCAGGAGCCTTTGACCCTATGACAAGCTTTTCCCATTTGTTGCATACTTATACTTCGTGTTCTGGCCATGAAAAAATTCGTATAGTAGATGGATCTTTTTCTCCCATTGCCGGCAAAGGTTTGATAAAATTATCTAATGCCTTATCACTCAAATCTATTTTCCATGTACCTAAACTTGCATGTAACCTTCTATCAGTGAGCAAATTTTCTAAGGATTCTAATTGTCATCTTTCCTTTTTTGAATCCCATTATGTGTTTCAGGAGAGGAACTCGGGGAAGACGATTGGTAGTGCTAAGGTGATAGATGGCTTTTACTATTTAGAAGATGGATACTCCAAGAATAAAAAAGCTCAAGGCTTAAGTAGTATTAGTTCTATTCCTGTTAAGGATCAAATAATGCTTTAGGACTATAGACTAGGACATCCTAATTTTCCCTATCTAAAAACATTATTTCCTATGTTATTTCGTGGTGTGGATTATTCAAAACTTTATTGTGAGAATTGCATCTTATCGAAAAGTCAGAGAACTACTTTTTCTTCAAAACCTTATCAAGCTCAAAACCATTCTATTTAATTCACAATGATATTTGGGGTCCTTCAAAGATCAAAACTCTCTCCGGTAGGAAATGGTTTGTAACTTTTATTGATGATCATACTCGTTTATGTTGGATCTATTTAATTAGTGAAAAATCTGAGGTTAAGAATTTGTTCAAAAATTTTTATACAATGGTTGAAACTCAATTTCAAACTAAAATAGGAATTTTGCACACTGATAATGGCACTGAATATTTTAATGAAATCCTTTGAAGTTTTTTAAGGGAAAAAGGGATTCATCACCAATCTACTTATGTTGACACACCTCAGTAAAATGGTATTGCTGAGCGAAAAAATAAACATTTACTTGAAGTCTCTCGTGCCATTATGTTTTCAATGAAGATTCTTAAATATCTTTGGGGTGATGCAATTTTAACAATAGCTTATCTAATTAACAAGATGCCTACTCGAGTTTTAAACTATAGTATTCCTCTTGAAAGTCTAAAAAAAAAATTTCCTCTATTCATATTCAGTCGGATCTGCCCCTTAAAATTTTTGGCTATACCGCTTATATTCATTTACCTAGTATGGGGCGGTCTAAACTTGATCCAAGGGCTGAAAAATGTGTATTTATAGGCTACACTCCAAATAAAATGGGGTATAAATGTTTTAATTTGATAACTCAGAAAATATTTGTAACTATGGATGTTTCCTTTCTTGAACATCAACCTTACTTTCAAAAAAAATTTCCTTCAGGGGGAGAAACTATTGAAGAAGAAAACTTTTAGGATGTTATTCCTACTTCTACTTCTTTACCTAAAATTATGATACACCACCTAATGATAAGGATATTGTTCTTCTAATTATTCATGATAATAATGCTCCTAAATCTATTTTGCTAAGCATTGTTGATACTTCGACAGGGGGAGAAATACTACCAACTATTCCTAATAATAGTAACTTAGAGCTTTAAGTTTACTCAAGGAGAAAGAATAAGAAAAATAGTAAAGAGCCTACTATTCCCTTGGTGCAAGCTCAATCTGAGGCTCTGAGTAACGAACCTGTAAACACTCCAGGTACTCTAGACACCCTTTTACATAATAATACTTCCTTAGAATCAACTAATGTGACTATTCCTAATGAGTCTCTCATACAAGAACCTTATGATCTTGATATTCCTATAGCCTTTAGAAAAGGAAAATGTTCTTGCACTAATTACCCAATAGCCAAATATTTGTCCTATGACAAACTTTCTCCTAAACATAAGGCCTATACATCTAGAATCTCTGACTTGTTTGTCCTGAGAAACATCCAAGAACCACTTGATAATCTCGATTGGAAATCAACAGTGATGGAAGAGATGCATGCTCTGAAGAAAAGTGAAACTTGGGTGATTGAGGATTTACCAAGAGGCAAAAAAAAACAGTCGATTGTAAATAGGTATTTACTGTAAAATGCAAGGCTGATGGAAGTGTAGAGAGATACAAGGCGAGACTTGTGGCTAAAGGGTTCACTCAAACTTATGGTATACTAGTTAGATGTGAAGAATGCCTTTCTAAATGGCAATTTGGAAGAATAGGTGTTTATGAGTCTACCTCTTGGATTTGAAAAGTTTTTTGGCCAAGACAATGTCTACGGACTCAAGAAGTCCTTATATGGTCTTAAACAGTCTCCAAAGGCGTGGTTTGAACGCTTTGGAAAGGCTGTAAAATACCATGGTTATTACCAAAGCCAAGCAGACCATACCACGTTCTACAAATACTCAGAAGGTGGAAAAATTGCAATTCTAATTGTTTATGTAGATGACATTATTTTAACAAGTGATGACTTTGAAGAAATGACTAGACTAAAGAAAAACTGGTAGAAGACTTCGAGAACAAAGACCTGGGGACACTAAAATACTTTCTTGGTATGGAATTTTTAAGATCGAAAGCAGGAATTGTTGTAAATCAAAGAAAGTATATGTCACGCCCCCCAAACGGGGTGGTGACGTGGAGCTCGATTAGGGGTTAATAAAGCAGATTCCCAGACGAGCCCCACTTAACTGCATTAAAATATAAATAAATTATAGAACCCCGAGCCTCTGACAACACACAGGGCTCCACCCACAGGACATACAGTATCGTACATACATGCACATGTAAATAATCATTACAACAGACATCAACCACAGTCTAGTTAATCCAAATATTTCAAGAGTTTACAGAATTCTCAATTCCTTACATTTTATTCCAGAGGATGATCATAATCCTCACTTGATTCCAACAGCAGCACAACTCAGCTGCTCCGTAGCAAATATCCAGCTACTGTGCACCGCTCCTAGAATCTCCTGGGAGGGGTTTAACACATTTAAAACATAAAACGTGAGCGAAATGCCCAGTAGGATATAATTTGAAATGACTTAAAAGTAAATGAACATATAAATGTGCGAGTAAATAAATAAATGGGTAAATGAATAAATAGACATTCAGTTCCAACAGATAGCCGGAACCTCACATCCTTTTTCTCAAAGGAAAATATAACTGAAAATAACTGTATTACAGGCTTCAGCAAGTAATTAGTACAAATTACTTACCTAACCAAGTGTCTCGCCTACCCGGACCAAGTTTCAGGTTCTGCCCCCGAGGATGCACTATATGCATCCTATCTAGGCTTATAACAATAGACTCTCTTACCAGTTCACAATTTAAGAAATCATTTATTAACTTTCTGAAATCGTTATTATGACCCCACGAACTACTCAAGCCGCGGGCCCTATGACTGGGCAAGCCATAAGGTTTCATGACTGGACAAGCTATGGATTCCATGGATAGGACAAGCCATGGATTCCATAAACTACACAAGCCATGGTTTTCAAAGAGTTTTTCTTTCACAAACCAACCCATTTCTTTAAAACATTTCCAAGGACGAAATCCTTTTTGAAAACAGGCTCACAAGGAAAATGGATAGAAATCATACCTCGCACTATCAAACCTGGGACTAGCGTTGCCCTTTTTCAGCTTCCGCTTCCTCAAGCTCCTTCAGCCTGAATCCTCAGCGATCACTGATACAAGACAACACTTTAGGATCAATTCTCATTCCTAAAGCAATCCGATCTCAAGCATGTACCAATATTTCCAATTAGTGTGCCCTAATCCATTTTCATGTTTCAAAATATCATTCCAAGGGTTTTCAATCTCAAAACAAGGATTAAAGATGCTAATCCATTCATCTCAAGTCCCCAAATGAAGCTAATTTGGGTTCTCCCCGAAAACAGGGGTCAAAACAGCAATTTCAGGCCAAATATGGTCAAACCCCATGTCAACCGGTCGACCGGTGACATAACAGTGCATCACCACCAGTCGACTGGTGGTGTGCAATCCGGTCGACTGGACAGGTCGACCAGTCAGGCCAATACAATCCAGTCGACCACACCGGTCGACCGGTTACCATGTGATCCGGTCGACCGGTGGCACCAACTGCGGGAGAGAAGCTCGTGGAAACCAGTCCAAAAACTTGCAATCTCAGTCCCAAATCAAAATATTTCAAGGGGCAACCACTAGATCTGGGTTCTAGGTCCTAAAACAAGTCCAAAGAACCCAAGATCTCCAATTTCTACCCTAGTTTTACTCAAAAACCATCAATATCCGGTTTGAACCAAAAATAAGTTTTGAAATTCAAAAACTTGAGATTCAAGAGAGGTGCTTTCAGTAATCTTACCTCGAATCTTTCTCTTGACGTTCAAAATTCTTTGAAACTCTCTTTTGGTTCAAGATCCGTTTGATTTTGGACAAAAATGAGAGAGAGGGAGAGAGAGAGAGATAGCGAGAGAGTGAGAATGAGAGCACGAGAAAGGAATGAGAAAAGGAAGAAAAAGAGAAAAGGAAAAAGAAAAGAAAAGGAAAAAGAAAAAGAAAAGGACATGTGTACAATATTTTAAAATAACAGTCTAGAAATGCGCCCATACACACTTCTGGGTTAAGATAAATTACTGATAATAATTTAAATACCTTAGAATTATTTAAACTCACGCGTGTCAGAAATATTTATTAATTAATACTCAATTAATAAATCCAAATTAGGCACACTAATAATCTCAATTACCTTAATTAATCTCATTTAATTCTTCAGGGCGTTACAGTATATTCTTGATTTACTCGGTGAAACAGGCCTTCTAGGATGCAAAACTACTTCCAATTGAAGCTAACTTGAAACTTACTCCAGCAAAACTAGAAGATGTGATTGATAGGGAGAAATTTCAGCGATTGGTATGTAGATTAATCTACTTGTCACATACTTGTCTTGACATAGCCTTCGCCATAAGTATGATAAGTCAATTCATGCATTCACTAGGATAAGAGCATTTTGATGCAGCCTACAAGATTTTGAGGTATTTAAAAGGAACTCCTGGCATAGGACTAATGTTAAAAAATAGTGATAATCTACAAGTTGAAGTCTATACAGATGCGGATTAAGCAGGAAGCACGATTGATAGACGATCAACTTCAGGATATTACACTTTTGTTGGAGGAAACCTAGTCATCCGGAGAAGTAAAAAGCAAAGTGTAGTAGCAAAAAGTAGCGTCGAGGCTGAATTCAGATCTCTAGCACACGGGATTTTTGAGGTAATATGGATCAAAAGGCTATTTAAGGATTTGAAGATCTCGGTTCCACTTCCCATAAAGGTGTATTGTGACAACAAGGCTACCAGTTCAATAGCTCACAATCCAGTTCTACATGATATAACAAAGCACATTGAAGTTGACAAGCACTTCATCAAAGTAAAAATTGAGAGTGGCCTAATATGCATTTCATATGTACCAACCATTCAACAAACAGCTGATATACATACTAAAGGACTATAGAAGAGATAGTTCGAATTCCTAGTAAGCAAGCTAGCTATGGAGGACATATACAAGCCAACTTGAGGGGGAGTGTTGAAGAATGAGATATTCGGTATCAATACTGAATATTAGGGATAATTAGGCTGATCATAGAAGATTAGGTCAAAGAGCATGATTGAAGAAGATTAGGAAAGTAGCGATTAGGATTGATTTTGTACAGTTATTAACATTCCATAGTTATTAGTCTTTCCTAGAATAGTTTTTCCCTGTAACTAGTATTTAAGTATACTTTGTAAATCTACCGAAGTATAATATACACATTATTTTCTTCTCCATATTCGCTTATAAAATCCTTATTACATCTCATGCTTTTAGGATATCATTCCTAACGGTAGAGATGTAACGTGGTTTAGGAATATGCCTACATCCTTGAACAAGGAGAAAAGAGAAAAATTCATTAATAAGCGGCGTTATGAATTGGGTCAATATAAATGTAAATTAAATTATCATTGAATCAAGTAAGTTACTTAGGCTTCGTTTATTTCACCATTTCGAATCACAATTCAAACTTTTTGCTACAATTTTTTCTCTCACAAAAATTAAAATTCAACTTTTTTGGCTACATTATTTTCTCTCATATAAATTAACTTTTCAAAAAAACAATACCTATATAATATGTTAACTTTCCTTTATAGGTGTTACTAATGGTGGATTCTATTTTTTCATCAATTGTACTGGTTTTATAAAAGAGCCGCATATGTGCTCGATCATTTGTGTACCTATTTGGGTGTACATTTTTAGAACTCGGTATACTTCTATTCCTATTGAGCGTTTCATCGAAGTTTATTAGTGGAACCGATTGTTTGTGGCGGTCTTGATTACCTGTGGTTTGAGGTCATATGAATTAATAGTATTATTTGTATTTACTTGATTTGGAATATAATCTCATATATAAAAAAAGTTGCAGGTGGTGAGTCATAAGCGATCTACAATATAGAACTGGGTTACCTTTGCTATCATTTAAAAAAAATGATATTGTTAAATTTATCATTGCTAAAAGATTTTCAATATTAAATATTTTTTATTATGTAGCCAATTTCCTTAATTTTTTCATACCACTAAAAAAAGGATTTCATATATAATATTAGTTTCCATAGCATTGGGTTTGATTTTTTTTTTCTCAAGATTTGTACATCTCCAATACAATGCTAAATTAGTATGCCATTAATGCTAATTTTAGCATTTGAATAGGAAACTACTCTCCAGTGTAATTATTTCTTATACTGAATTTTTCATATTTATGTTTGATGGTAAAATTACTATCAAGTATAGCATATGAAAAACTTAGCATTTGATTTATACATTTAAGCACAAGTGAAAACTACACATCAAATGTGTCATTATCTCACTTTTTAGTGCTAAATATACATTTGACATTAACATTGCAGTGAAGATGGTCTTCCACCAGTTGTTTTAAAATTTACCATGATAAATATTTAATATAATATTCTCATTAACTATTTCTTAATTATAATTACGACTTTTGATAATTACTATTTAGTGCGCGGCAATAATGATAAAGAAACCAAGTATTATTTATAAAATATTTTTATTCTCTAATGCTATAGAAAAATTAACCCTCTTTGATTTTTATACGGAGGAAGAAAGAGAGGAAAACTAAAAAAAAAAAAATGGCTGCCCACTCGCTTTCGAGTGGGTTGCTGATGCATTTGCAGTTGAATCAGCCGAACAAGAAAGAGAGAACCTCAAGCTTCAGGTTCTTCAGAAAAAGCTACAATTTAAGTCGCAACAATTTTCTTGGTATTTCTACTAATAGTAAGAAGAGAAATGCATGTTTTCCTACTCTTTTCACCTCCAATTACAAGGTCGCCAAGTCCAGTTCTAGCACTGCAGAAACTGCAGAGATTTCGGGTGTGGCAGAAATAAGAGACAAGTGCAAGAAGTGGCTTTGGAAGGGCAAGTTTTCAATAAATTACTTTGTTTCTGCTGATGATAATTCTTCTCAAGAAGATCAGTCGACTACTTTGAATTCAAATAATCCTCCTTTGCTTCTTGTTCATGGCTTTGGTGCTTCCATTCCTCACTGGAGAAGGTTAGTTTTGTTTGTCGTTTTCTTGTAGCTCCTTGATTGCCGTGTTCCATTTGTTCCACATATCCACTATTTGTCTGTTTTAGCTTCATGACCACACGAACACAAACACATATGGATAATGTTTATTTTGGGAGGAAAAAAAAAACAAAAAGAACTGTGCATTTTTTTTTTAAACACCTAAAACATCATACGCAAGTCTTTAGTAATTCTAATATCGTATTGGAAAATTTTTGTAAACGGTAGGAACTCTTTAAAATAAAAAATAAAAAAGAACAAAACAAAATGATATCCATTTCTTCTCCCAACAAAATAGAAGTGAAATTTATATATAAGGGTACCTAAAATAAAAATTGATTTCTTTAATTAGATGAAGAAAAGCAGCTCATTCTAAGAGAATAAATAGTATTAACAAGTTTTTTTTTTATTTTAAGCAATAGTATTGACCATGTTATAACAATTGATATGTGCTCTATTATTTTGACAATTCTATATGGCAGGGTCTGATAAAAACATCTGTTTAAACCTCAAGTTTTAGGTTAATAATTCTATTTTGCATTTTTTTTTTTTTTTTGGATATGATTTTAATCATCTAAGTCGTTTTTTCGTGGTTACCACGGGAGCATGGTCCAACCCTATGAGGCCCACTCTCAATAAGTAGTGGTTGGGATGAATAATACTGCTCCATTCACAAACATCAGTTGCCTTCTAGAATGTTGATTATTGTTTTGACTCCCTAGAAATTGCCAGCCTAATTGGTGTGTTATTCTTGAAAAACTGAAATCCAATCAGGAATATTAGAACGTTATCGCAGAATAACACAGTTTATGCCATTGACCTTCTTGGATTTGGTGCCTCAGATAAGCCGGCAGGCTTTGCTTACACAATGGAAACATGGGCTCAGGTAATGCTCATAGTAGGAGCTTTAAAAAGTTGTATTACACGTTAGGTCTCATTCATTTCACTGATTCGAATTTAAAATTTGAGTTTTACTACAGTAAAAAGCTCTCAGAAACAGTCATATTTAACTTTTTTACTACAGTAAAAAGTTCTCACATAAAATCACATCTCAACTCGAATCAGCGAACTAAATGGGCCTATATGATCAATAATCTATCACAATTAATTCCCTACTGACTTAATTAAGAATCTTTTTAAACAGTTAATCTTGGATTTCTTGGATGAAGTTGTTAGGAAGCCAACAGTCCTTGTAGGGAACTCTGTTGGGAGCCTTGCTTGTGTAATTGCTGCCTCAGGTATGTTACAAGTTATAAGCCCTAATTCCTACTATTTAAGAGCAATAAGAAAACAAGAAGAAGAATAAAAATAAATAGAGCACGCACAGGATTTATAGTGGAGAGCTATATTCATTTGCTACATTATTATTGTTACAATGATCGAGAAAGTAGTGCAAAATCCAATCCACTCTCTGTAAAAACCCTCCCTCATTCTCTATGTTATTCATCACAAAACTCGTTCATCATTTTCTTACGTATTATGAGAATTAGGGGAAAACTACCTAAAATACCTTAAAAATTGACCTTTGGGGGCTTGTTCACCCAAGCTCAATCTAAAAAAGTGTATAGTATAATTAGGCTCCACAAAATAAAGTAAATTTAACTTACCGTTGGTTAAGAAAGAGTAAAGAAAACCTTCCCTTCTTTTAATAAGCTGAAATATTCAATTACACAAGTTGATCTTTATCAATATGATTTTTCCTTTGTCTTAATCCAATTTATTTTTCTCCAACTAGAATCTAGCCAATCACTAGTTCGTGGACTTGTGCTTCTAAACTGTGCCGGTGGCATGAACAATAAGGCGATTGTTGACGACTGGAGAATCAAGCTATTGTTACCTTTGCTTTGGCTAATTGATTTTTTATTAAAGCAGCAAGGAATTGCTTCTTTTATCTTTGAGCGTGTCAAACAGAGGTATTGATCTATTTCACTCTACTAGTAAATTAAAATGGTCATGATATCCAAAGTTTTGAGGACATTATTTCTGATAATGCAATATTCCCAACGCAGAGAAAACCTGAGGAACGTGTTGCTATCTGTCTATGGAAATAAGGAATCTGTGGATGAAGAACTGGTAGAGGTACCATTGTTTCTCCTTTTGGTTCTCCATTTTATTTAGAGAAATTATCCCGGTAACCTGTATTTTATTAAATTATTGGGTCGGTATCAAATTACCAGATTACATTGGTATTTCAGCATTTAGACAATATCAAATAGGATCTTTGTACTTTAAAAGGTATGCTCTCAGGTACTTAAGGTCTTCTTTTTGGGACAGACAAAATATATATAGATATATATATTTATATATATATATTGTCCTTTTAGTCTAAACTCTAAAGGCATGTTAAAGTAAGAAAATAAAAAAAAAAAACATAGGAAAATTGTAGTAAATAGTATATTTTTGAAATTAAATTAAGTAAATAGTATATTTTAAAACTATTTGAAGTAAATAGCAGTTTGCGTAGTAAATGAATCATTTATCGTGTAAATGATTCATTTATGACTGGTAAAAAATAACTTACATAGTAAAAAACTCTTTATTTACATAGAAAGTTTTTTTTTACAAGTCATAAAAAGAAAATGTGCATGAAAAAAAAATGTTTTTACTAACTGTAAAATATTCATTTAACATGTAAACTACTGTTTATTTCAAATACTTTTAAAATATAATGTTTACTTAATTTAGTTTCAAAAATATGCTATCTACTACATTCTCCCACAAAAATATAAATAAAAATAAATAAAAGCCCACGTCATTCTTAAAATCAATATATATATATATATATATATATATTGATTTTTCTAATTGTTTTTAGAATTTTACTAGTGAAGTTAACATGGAGTTTTTTTAAAAGGACATAATGACATTTAAAGACATGAAAAAGAGGCGCAAAGAAGTTTAAATGGAAGTTTTTTCTTTCACTTTTGAAAAATGAGGTACCGATATAGTATTATCTTAATAATAAGATACCAAGCCACTAACTTGATAAAATACATGTTATAATTTTCTCTGTATTTTACTTTTGTACATAAGCATGAATGTGAACATGAATTTTTGAAACTTCTCATGGACTTGGAAACAATGTAGATAATTACCGAACCGACATTCGACCAAGGGGCACTGGACGCTTTTGTTTCTATAGTGACGGGTCCTCCGGGGCCAAACCCTGCAAAATTGATGCCAAAACTCTCCATACCTGTTCTGGTTTTGTGGGGGAATCAAGATCCGTTTACTCCTCTTGATGGACCTGTTGGGAAATACTTTAGTTCCTTGCCTTACAAGCTACCAAATATAAGCCTCTTTGTTTTGGAAGGTGTAGGGCATTGCCCCCACGATGATAGGCCTGAATTAGTCCATGAAAAGCTGTTACCATGGTTGGCTCATCTTCCTTCTTCATGACAGAAGAAGATTTGGTTCTGATCAGTTACTTCCACTTAGTAAGACCATGAAAATAATAATTTTAAAAAGAAAAAAAAACCATATTTTCTCTTGTGATTTGATGCTGAAATTTATGATAAATATTTTGTTGTTTAGTTTCTTGACACTTTGTGGAAATAAAGAGGAGGAATTGACATGGGACTTGTTGATTACTTGCCTTCTACATTTGAGATCAGTCGTTACACAAGCACTAGCAGAGTTAGAAATTTTTTCAAAGAGGACATAAATTAAATAAAAATTTTGAGTTATCTTTTACCTCCATTTATCTATTTTTATCTTTGATTTTTCTTTAAATGAACTAAGCTTGTAATAGAGTTTAATTCATAAATCTTTGTGATTTGAATTCCAAGCATGATGCTATGTATGTCCTTTTCAATATTTGAATAATGTACTTTTGTGCCATAAATGAGGGTGAATATGATGATGAATGAGAATAATCTTAAGTATGCCTTTAATTAAATATTCTACTATTGATGCATCTTAATATTTAAATTACGTGAGAATATTTAAGTGACATGATCATAAATCACATGCTCACCTAAGTAAAAGAACACGGTAATAAAAAGGTAGTTTAAGTGCCGTGCCGCCCTTCGGACTTGGGGGACGGGAGATTAAATTCCTCCGCTCCATGGCGACGGGGAGGTCAACTAGCCTAAATAGGTAGACCGTGTGCCTGCGGACGAAACGTTTGGATAGCTCCCCTGACACCTTATTGGTCGCAAGTAAGGGTACGTGCACAGGGTCCAATAAGCATAAATGGATATCCATAATCAAGCATAAATGGCCATGCATCTTTATTTGCTAAAGTTATGTTTTGAAATTGTTTTGTGAGGATTATTTGTTCTCGCTAGGCTATCGCTCAAAATTCGTTCATACTGTAGGTGAAACGCCTTTTTAATTTTGGTGGACTTGACGATAGACGAGATTAACGGTGGAGGATGGGTATGGATCGCCATGCAAAACATTTTCATTAAGCGTTGTAAATAGTCTTTTGAGTTACAAATATGTTATGATATCTTGTGCATGAAAACAGATTTAAAACATGCCCTGTCAGTAATTGTGGTATTTGTTATGGTCTGTAATATTACAGTAACCTCAAGGTACTTAATTAGACTTCTACTTCACTACTCCAATCTTGTCTAGGTTTGAATAATGTTTTACAAATGGTTTTTTTTTTTAAAAAAAAAAACAAATCCCAAGGTTTAGTACTTAAAAGAAATGAGTTTTAAAATAGAAATAAAGTTTTTCCATTTAAGTCATGGTAAGTAACGGTTTAAGAATCTGGGTCATTATAGTGTATATTCAAAATTTATCATTAGAGTTTGTACGGCTCTTAAAAAAATGATACTAACTTGTTAAATCCTAAATTTATCAAATATTTTTAGGATTTACAATCATAATTTGTATTATTTTTTTTTAAGTGATTCTAACTTGGTAAATCTTAGTAATCTTAGATTTACCTAAATTTATCACGTATATTCATGATACCATTATAATTTATACAATTTTTGAAAGAGTAATCATAACTTGGTAAATCCAAGTTTTACCAAGTATATTAAGAATTAGTACTTTTTTTTTAAGTGATTCTAACTTGATAAATTCTGGATTTATAAAAAAAAAAAAAAATAGCAAGAAAGTGATAAAATTAAAAAAATGAAGAAGTATAATAACTTTTATATTAATAAATTAGTCATTTACTTCTATAAATTTTAATGTAAGCATATATCCTGCAATTTTTTTTTAAAAAAAAATATGAATGAGGCACGTACCCTTACTTAGACCTCATGTGGAATAAAATGATATAGAGAAACTGAAGATAAAATATATCATGATAAAGTTCTAAAACAAACAAGGATAATGAAATCTCATCGCAATTCCAATGAAATTTGAAAAAATAAATAAATAAATTGAAGACAACAGTAACCCCTCATCAATATTACAATTCATAAAACAAAGTTAAAAATAATGATTTAAAAAAAAGCCTTCATTGACAAGAAGACACTATGACACACAAACGACATCCAAATGCTAAAAAGCAAAGAAAATGTAATATAAATTAAAAAAAACTTTTAAATTGGACTTTTTTGGATCTCAAAATTGGAGCTTTTTTTAATAGACATTGAAAAAATAAACTGCGGAACTGACTTTATTTTTAGCGTAAAATCTATAATAAAAATTATCTATTATACATATTTTTTTAAATATGATTTAAAAGGTCCAATAGTTAAAAACTAGTCCAATTAATATGGAGGTCCTACCAAAAGACACTTCAAAATTTGCTAATATTTATCGTGAAGACACTAGTGCGTTAATAATACTGTTTAACATGCTTTAAAAGTTGAGTATTTCACATATTTGCTCTTTAAACTCATATGGTTTTAATAACTTGTTCTAATTTTTAATTTTGACAAATTATCTTATCAACTTATAGTTTTATAAATTTGGGGAGTTGATTTTTAAAATCAAAAGTTTGAGAGCAATTTGTTAAACTATATTAAGTTCATGGCTAATTTTGAAAAACCCCTTAAAAAGAAGAAAAAAACAAAAGAATAACAAAAAAAAAAGAAAATTAAAAAGACACAATGACACATAATCCGCCACTTTGGGCTCGTTTACTAATGTTTTCAAAATGATTTTATTTTCAATACGAAAGAAAAAATGAGATTGTTTTGAAAATTATTTTGAAACCGATTCTAAAATTATTTTTAATTAGTTTTTTAAGAGATTGTTTTGAGTACAATAAAAAAATAAAATCGTATTTAGTTATAATTATTAATTAATATATTATAACATTATTGATAAGTATTAAAAATGAAAACAGAAAAGAGAAAATAATTTCCAACCATTTTCTAATTTTTTTATAAAAATCATTCTTATTGTTTTTTTTATTTTTGTTTTTAAAATACTTACTAAATAAATACAATTTACAAACTGTTTTCATTTTTATATCTCAAAAATTATAAAAAAATAATTTAAAATCAATTCTACTTCTATACACTCTCTCAGCTCACTCCACTCCATCGCTTACTCAGTGGCACATCACGTAATTGTTTTAAATCTAAGTGTCATTTTTTTCCTATTCCCCAGATTGTCCCCACCATCTTCTCCATCCAATTTTCCTTTATCCATCTTCCATTCTATTCACATAAAAACCGAAAATTTCAATTTCCCCTTTAAACCAACAATTTCTCTCTTCTCTTCCAAAAAAAAGGTTTTCTGCTCAATTTTTATTCCTTTTTCCCTCTCCGATTTTTGCGATTCAAGAAAGGAAGTTTCAGAAACCCTAGCTCTCCTCCTTCTTCAAAGATAGAATTTTGGCCATGGAGTTTTAGGGTTTTTTTCTCTATTTTTTTTATCTAGAATGTAGTGCAATACACAAATGCCCGAACCTAATCAACAGGCGTCAATGTACGGAAGAGCGGCCATGGCAACGACCACCAATATGCAAAGCGGCCAAGTCGATGACGACGACAACGACGTGACGGCCGGCGAGGAGTCCATAGACAACCCTCAGATCCGCTTCGACGACGCCGCCGCCGCCATGAATGGCATCCAGGATGTTCCTTCGAACGCTCTCTACGTTCCCGGTGTAGCTGATTATGCTCCGGTCGCCGAGAATGGAGGCTCCGATCAGCTCACTCTCTCCTTCCAGGGCGAGGTTTACGTCTTTGACGCCGTTTCACCCGATAAGGTAATTAGTGGCTTTGAATTGTATGGCATTGGGTTAAAGATGTTTACTTGACGATTTTCACTCTCTAAATTTGTCCCTGTTAGTTTTGTGAAGAACTTTTTTTTTTATTATTATTTAGTATTAGCATTATCAGCTAAAAGGGTAGATTCTTGTTTGTTCATATGTTATCAATTTAGTCGCTTTGATAATAATTAATCAGATGGTTTAAATGTGTGTGGCTTTTGAAGGAGTTTTGAGAGCTGTACTTTTAAACTTGTTCTGTTCTCCCAAACAAATCAGTGATTTGGAGTTTCTTTATTTTAAATTGAACGATTTTGCAGTTGTTATTTGGTAGTACTTTTGGTTTAGAGTTCAATTGTTCAAACATATGAGATTCTATCTCCAGACTTTCGGCTTATTAAAAGAACTTCTTATGTATAATGCCTTGTATTGGAATGAATTAAAGCGGATTTTGTTAATTTTTGTCTTGGAGCTGTTTGGTGTATGTGTTCTTTGAGTGCCCATGTTGGGATTTTAAGTGTTTTAACTTCATTGAAAGGATCGAACTATGGAGGTATTCTTATGTCTTTCGATGTTTCACGTTTACAGGTGCAGGCTGTGTTGTTACTTTTGGGTGGATATGAAATCCCTTCTGGTATACCTGCCATGGGAGCAACTCCTATTGGCCAACGGGTATGGGTGCAATGTCATCTCTTTATGGTTAGATTGAAGATAGAGAGAAGTAAATAAGAAAAGGATATCTTTGAAGTGTCTATAATTTGGATGTTTAATGTTGGTAAGGAAATGGAGAGGAGAAGGGAGATTGTGTGTTTGCATTAACTTCTCTGCCACTCATTGTTTTCTGAGAAAGTGAGAGTTGCAGAGAGAAGATAAAGATGCGTCCTTTTTAATTATTGCTGAGAAATTGCTATTAGTTTGCTTAGATATACTCAGACTTCAGAATGTGCATTGTTGTTTGACTTCTGTCCTGTATTCATATTCCTTGTAGGGTATGAATCAATTTGTTGCAAAGCCAATTCAACCACAAAGAGCTGCTTCTTTAAATCGGTTCCGAGAGAAGAGGAAAGAGCGTTGTTTTGATAAGAAAATCCGTTACAATGTCCGCAAAGAAGTTGCAATGAGGTAATCCATTTTGTTCACGTGCTATGCTAAGCTTATGTTTTCCAATTTGTGGAAAAAGGATTTTGAACAATTTTAAGCCTGCATTCTTGTTCTAATTTATCACGATGCAAAACAAATATAGACTAAACGTTTACTCAGCTTTGCTAGGTTGATATTCATTGTAATCACAATGTTGGAACCCTTATAACTAAATGCCATTATAAATTCAATCTTTCAAATAGCTATTGCTACTAGTCTCAAATGTGACATCATAGATGACTGCCTCCACACCCATATGTGTATTCATTCTAATCTTCTAAAAGTATTATATTGGCTGTTTCAGGATGCAGCGTAAGAAGGGTCAGTTTACATCGGCTAAGACTAGTTCAGAGGAGTTGGGCTCAGCTTCATCTGTTTGGAATGCGACACCAGGCTCAGGACAAGATGAGAACATGCAGGAAACTTCGTGAGTGTCAATACACTTCTAATGGATAGTAGCTTATGTTAAAATCTAAATACCATTATATTGATTATTTTAATCCCCTGTCTATGCACGTTATCCATTACGGTTGTGTTTGATATCTGTAGTGCTCTGACTTCATGTTGCACTGACTTGCGGATTTTAGTAACAAGTATGGGCTTTAACATGTCCTTGTTTTCGATGACAGATGCTGACTACTGAAATGTTTGCCTAATGCTCTGTGCAGGTGTACCCACTGCGGAATAAGTTCAAAGTCCACGCCAATGATGCGTCGTGGGCCAGCTGGTCCGAGGACATTGTGCAATGCATGTGGGCTGAAGTGGGCCAACAAGGTTTGTATGGTATTGAAGTTTTTTGTTGTTTCAGTTTTTGTACTTTTCTACTCTAGAAAAATGTCCATGAAGCATATAAACGGTACTTTTGATATTGTAGTAGAGTTTTGTTGATTTATTGGCCGTGTTTGGAATTGATCTCGTTTTTGTTTCACGTTTTTCGAGAAAGAAAAATGAAACCATTTCTAAAACGGCGTTTGGCGCAATAAAGACAAAAAAGGGAAATGAAAACGATTTTTTGGTTTAGTGTAAAATGAGAGAGAAATGAAAAAGTCGTTTTTCATTTTTTGTTTTCATTTTCTCCTCTCTCGAGCAGAGAGAAAGAGAGACATTAAGGTTTTTTATACTGAAAACAATCTCTTGATAAAACCACCAAACGCATTTTTAAAAATGATTTTTGTCTGAGATTGAAAACGTTTTCATTTTCATTTTCATACAAAAAATAAAATCATTTTAGAACGAGTTCCAAACGCACCCATTATGTTTCTCACTCGAATAAATCTTTGATGATTTTATTGGGGTTAATTAGCAGTTTATGTCAAGGCATCTCTGGCTTTTTATCTTCCGTGGTTTTTTGCTTCTTTTAGTCATAATAGGAATTTGACTCATTTCAAAATAACACTAATAATGATGATAATAATAATAATAGGAATTTTACTCAGTATGCATATCAAACCAAAATGGAATATATTTAAGCATAACAAACATTTTGTTCTTGAGAGTAATTCTATTTATATTTGTTGAGTTTTTAATAAGTAGAGGTGCTGATTCTGCGTCCATAATGCCAAGTTTAGCTACTTGTGCGACTCCTTGTGCTCCATGGGAAGAACATATAGCAGGTAGTCAATTACCTCATTTCATCATCCAACATTTGATTGTTGAGGTTGCTTGCGTTCTTTCCCTCATCTAAACCAAGATTCTGCCGCTATGGCATATTGTTAACAAGCTTGAAGAGTTAGTCCTGAGCCCCAAAGCTCAGAAATTTGGTAAAGCGATTGGTGATTCCTTCAGTGATTTACTAGGGAGGTTGCTTTGCAGGGAATCTTAAGAGATCTTTCTAAAGTTCTGAATGGCAATGTCCAGGATGCTTCAGTGAAGGAGACTGAGCAGGTATATTCCTTTGTAAAATGCTTTCGAAGATGTGTATATCGTTTGCTCCCTGCCAGTTCCATCCCAAGAATAAGTGCATTTCTTCCTTGTTTTCTCATCTCTGTTAATTGCAGAGTGATGGTGACGCTAACGATTCCGCTGCTGTAACCACTACTGCCAATATTGCCTCTTCTAATGGTGATGCCAAGACTGCTGTAACGGAGATGACAAGTTGATCCTTTGTGGCAGGTTCAATTCACCTGCTGTTTCCGCCAGGATGCGGAACAGATTTTTATCGCACCAACTATTTATATACTCCGATTTAGTGTACATATAGTTCGATCACATAAAGTGAAGAATAAGATTACTAATTTGGAATTCTCTTTCATTTTAGCATTGTAAATTTTCTCATTAAAATATACTGTGAACTGCTACAGCATAGCAAAAGTGAATGCGTCTCCATTAGAGTGTTTTGAAGGTTAGAACCTGCTTAAACATGTGGGTTAACGTCTCACCTTATTATTTATTTGTCATGTATTTCTTGTGATTATGACATGACAGTGCGTTTTGTAGAGAATCCCCCTTATTCTCGTGACCACGTCCTTGTTTCTTTCTGCTGTTTTTGGCTTACTTTTAGGTAATTGGATTGGGGATGATATTAATCATTTGCTTAGGGGCTAAAAGTAGTGAAATATGAGCTATTAAGTTTCCATGGAATTAATAGACGATTACAAGGAATCAGTAATAGCTCTTTCTTTTCCAGATAATGAAATTTCGGGCGACGGTCATTAGTTTATATCCATTTCACGAAATGTTCAAGTTCAATCATTACTTATGATGTTGCTCATTACATTTTGATAACAATAAAATATAACTCATTTAAATACAATCACTTACATCATGTGGAGAAAACTAAAGGGATTAAGAGAAACGAGCAGATACAACAATGAAAAGAGCAAACTTGATCCGCTTAGAGGCCAAAGGCCACTCTTTGCACACAGTCGGGGCGTCTTTTGTTGGGCATCCGAATTAGCCCGGTGATTTGCAGTTCTGTCAATGCCCTGCAAAATCGTGCTCTATAAACAACTAAGTCAAGGATCTCCATGTCAAACTTTCTTTTTAGTGATGCACACATTTAGAAATTCAATAACAGATGCAGAGATATATATATATATATATATATCACATATTTGTAAAAAAAACGCATACCATGACCCATATCATAACACAAAACGCAAAGTAAAAAAAAAAACACGCATACCATGACACAAAGTCAAAAGGGTGCAACCATGTACATCTTAATGGCTAAATGTAAGAACTTTGAGTTATCTCTTGTTTCCCTTTCACTAGGTGAATATAAAACGAAGCCGGAAGTTTTTGAAACAATATTCTGAATTCCATGCAAGTTTAAAATTGAGTTACTCGGAAGGATTTGATATCCCTTACCAACCCATCCTTTTCCTTTCACCATGAAGACTAAAATCTTCCCACTAATCCCCTACACCACCAAAGCTCTTAAGCAAGAGTATAACACCAATGATCGATGCTTGACATCCAAATCTCAAAGCAGTAGGCATTGAACGCAGTGTAGTCGTGCATCTACTAGTCTGAAATTCAGAATAAAATCACTGGTTCTACGAGGTCCGAGTGACCCTCGCTATCTCAAGCCATGCAAAAGGAAAGTTGTTGGTCCAATAGCTAAAACTAACTAATCAATTGCCGAGCACCAGAAAACGACAAGTCATCATTTCCGTATCAAAACACTACAACTAATTTAATATGTATGACGCTAAGATGGCCTCTCCCCATCTGGAATGGAGAAGGGATGAAATTCTAAATGCAACGATGTCATGCAGGATTTAAAAATTAAGAACAAAGTAGGATACTGTATTGAGGCTTCGCCCTCGTTTTGGTTTTCATTTGTGTCCTTCCTTTTCTTTGGCAGCGGTGACTGCTGCCCCTTGCGCTGTTTCCCTTTAGTACTGCAGTTAACCACAATCGTTTTGAAAGATTGGAACCAGTCATGAAGATTGATAAGATCGCCATGCTCCTGAGCCAGTGTATACCTAAAAACAGGGATGAACAAACTTCAAAATTGCATACTTCTCTTTTTTCTTTAAGTTCTGAAATGCATACTAGCAACTATATTAGGAAGTCACAAATGAAATGAACATAATCATATTGCATATCCACCTCTAGCTTGCATAAGTGAACTACCCATAATTCTTCATATAATATAACAGAATAACAAAATACAAAAACAAAAACAAAAACAAAAAACAAAAAACAAAACAAAACAAAACAAAAAGGAGTTATCACACTGCTATTAAAGAAAATGATGCAAATCTCAAGACGGATATCATTGTGTCGCTTTAAAATTCTACAAAAAGTACATTAAAAGTCATGAACAACAAAGCCATATGGTCCCGCAAAAATGAAAGAAGGCGACTATCACATGATCCTCCCCAATGCAATGAAAGAGTTTTCTGGAGGACCAAAGATGCTGAAACATTAAAGCTTGTATGCAAAAATCACAAAAAAGAAAAATAATAATAATAATAAAGATTTTGCGCTCAAGATCCAAAAATAAATAAATAAATCCCACAATATGCTTCTGCTAAACACAATGCATCAATAAAAGGGAAACTGGGGAAAATTAAAACCCTCAATAGCAAAATACTGAATGGACATAGTCACTCACTATCTGAAATAATCCTTGTGCATGTGTTGGTACACTTACATAATTGAGGTATCAGGCATCGATGGTAATAGAACATCGCAATGCTTGCTGCAGCAACTACACTGCAGGAACTTATGGAATTCTAAAAGGTCGACTTGAATCATTCTTCTAGGGTCTCCAATTAAAGCCTAAAAAATAAATGTAAAGTAAGAAGTATGATAACTAGAAAAAGAAAACAGTATTTAGCTATTCTTCATTGATAACTGGAAAAATGATGGATATACAAAGTAAACTGAATTCAAAACAAGATCTTATCACTGATAGACAAGATAAGGTTTCAAAAAGAGTACTTTATCATGAAATAGTTCTAAAATAGCCATTCCAGAAGACACTTAAGCTCATTGCAAAAAGCATGAAACAATCAGCTGTGGGATCATAAGAATACTTTCAAAAGGAAGATGTAACTCTTCGATGCTTACAAATCATCTATACTCCATGAATATATCAAGAATTGGATTTTTTGTTATTTTTCCTCATATGTTATGAAGATGTACAGAATGCCCATGGACATGCAGATCCCAATCATCGGAGAACATTTTTTTTATGTAGAAGTAAAATATATAATTAGAAGAAAAATCTAAAAATTGTTGACAAGTTTAGCCCTCTGGTACAAGCAATACCTTGTGCTAATTATATTAGAATTGTACTTGCATAATAAGACTTACTTAGTTCATACCTAAGGTGCAGTTCAAACCCATTAAATACCACAATAAGTTCCCATGTTCTTTAATTAATCAGGTGGAAATGAAAAAGCTTAAAAATTAGGGACAATGCTAAACTGGATTTTTGTTTCAGATTTTACAGTATGCATGGTCAACATGCTTGAAAACAGCTTTCAGCTGTAGAAAACAAAATGTGGAGCATTGATGAAACCATAATAAGCATGATCAGTCAACTAATGGCATATTTAGTATGACACAACACTTGCACACGTTTCAGAAATCCATCAAGAATCATGCCAATACCTGACATCTTCAAGTCATAATAACGAGCAAGTTGACTAAAGATATTGAGTCTGTGCAACAAGTTAACAGAATGCTTACCGATTTAAGTTTCTCAACATCTTTAAAGCAAACAACTTCATGATAAGGAACACACTCAATGGGTTTCATGAAATCCCTGTTTCATACAGCAATATGAATAAACAATAACTAGTTATTACTGTTAAAAATAAATAAATAAACTGAACAAATATAGAATAGAAGTTTCTGAAGAAGAATTGCCAAGAATCCGTATAAAGCATTGCTGATGTTCAAAAGTCGTTTATGCAAAATCAAGTAGGAGAGAGATTACAAAACCAGAGTATACCAAGCAACGCCAGTACATTTACCTGATCATGGTACTTATTAGAGTAGCGGCTTTATCATTTATTGTTTTTGATTCCTTAACATTTGCGGGGCTTCGAGATGCATGCCTCCTGTCACATGAACACAATGGTACCTATCTGAATTTGTAGGAATTAACATGACTAAAATGTAATTAGAAAACATGTGCACGCATGAGGCATAATTTATTAGAAAACTAATAATCATTTTCAATTGAAGCCTTCAAACTATAGTTCCACTAAAACAAAGCACTATGAAGACAAAATATATCGGGTTCAGGAGCGACATTAAATTTCGCCATATATGTCAAAATAACCTGTTTCTCAAGTTTTACTCAAGATGAAGATAGTAATCTAACATCAGTGCAAACACAACCAAGCAGTTTATTTTTTTCTAATAGCTTGAAAATAATGAAAGAGAAAACAAAATGTGAAGAATGCACGAGAGATTATTCTAATAAAAAAGCAGAAACAAGATGGAATACAATATTACTTCGCTAGGTCTGGAAAATCCTGCTTTAAACTCTTTCCTTCTTCAAATTTCACCATTCGTTGCAGTTCCTTCACTTTGTCATAGATCTATATCAAGCAAATGAAATATGATCATTCAATAGACTTGTACCTTTCAATCCCCCGCCCCCCACACTAACACAACACACGTGGAGAAAACTTGTAAAATAAGCTAATCAGAAAACATAAGACAGATATGGTAACAAAACATAGCAATTATATCATTGTCTAAAGCGCATGAAGTCCAACAAATTTAAGCCTCAAGTCCTTTGTAATAATAAGATTAATAGTTCACAATTATCATGCAGAATAATCTGCCATTCAGCATAAATATCTGAGTTCTGATTAAAAAGTAGTTTGGCAGAAGTGCACTGTAGCCAAGTAGGCTAGGAGTGGGCAGAAGTTAAGGGAAACAGATCGCATCGGATATTTATTGTAATTCCGTATAAAAAGGTCATTTTCGTAGAGCAATTTTTCATTTACTCAGAAAGAAGTGGATTGAAACACACACAGTTGCATAACATCTGGATACATCCTGACATGCATTATAAGCATGCACAAGGTAATATTTGGATCATCATTTCAAAAGAAAATCTTGAATCTTTTCATAACCTTCTGGGAGCGGTTGTCATACCTCAAGGATATCCATGGAGAGATTTTCCCAACTCTTAAGCAATTGAGATAGTGATGCTGCTGGAAGATCCCTGATTCAAATTCATGACATGAAGATCCAGTCTAATTTGAATAAAATGAATTAAACGTTGGATGGTAACCCATTTTTGGGCAGGACTCTAATCAAATAAACACAATGATATGATTCGTTAAAAGAATTTGCACACAAGAACAATTTTCCAACCCTCTCTTCCATGAACATAGTTAAAGAAATATTGCAATTATGTTTGAGAAGCAGCAAAAGTGATACTCATATGAATAAAATTCTACCTGTGCATACGTCAAACTTCATAACCGTAAAATTAGACTTTCCCAGTAAAGTCTGCTTATTAGAAGGTTTTTGATGGTTACACCAAAATGGTACTGTTGGAGACAGATTCAATTAGGTTTTCCTTCTCTCAAACTAACCTACCTCACTTTTTGAATTGCCTGATGAATTGGTCCACCCTTTCGCAAATTCAGTCGAGCCATAAAGTGATCACTTGAAGAAGATATTTCAAAACCTTTTCCCGACCTAGTTTGATTCTTAGAAGCCATGGAGTTGTAAAAATCTGGATCAAGTGCCTCACATAATAAATCTAGCAATTGCACTTTGTTATACTTTCCAGCTTCGTATAGACACTGCAACACACTTTGTAAGCATAAGAAACAGGACAATATGGAATTTGACCTACATCAGCTGTTAGGAACATCTTACCAACAAAACACAATTTTTTTTTTTTTTTTTTTTTTTTTTTGGCTGGAAACCAACAAAACATAATTTGGTGGAACAAAGAAACTATCATGTTAAGTGCAGAAATTAACTCAAAACATCGCCACTTTGGCATGTACGTCATCTCAGATGTGCATAGAACAGTTAACCAGAAAGAAAAGGAAGTTAAGTTCTTGTAGCACGTTCTAACAAGTAGCAGAAGACAAATGTGCTTCCAACATTTTGTATAGGAATGGTTCGCAAACAGAAAAATAAGAATTAAAAGAAAATGTTAAAAGGATAAGGCCGCCTAAGCTATTTAAAAGTTATTAGTTATATGTTAAAGCTACAGAAATTGTAAAAACTATGAGAACCAGTTTGATAATCTTTCACATCATGTAATAGCGAAAGCAGCTAAGATGTAACTTGTAAGCACAGAGAAGTCCCAAAACGAAAGAAAACATAAACTCATAAACTGCAAAACTTAGAAAGTGCATGAGCTTATTATGTTATAGAAAATTGTGACTTGTTTATAAGCATAAAAAAAAAAAAAAAAGGAATCTGAAATCTAACCATAACAACAGTGCTCCAGCACTTCTGAGAGTGCATCAATTCTGTCAAACCAAGAGCCAATTTACTATCTGTTTGTGCTTCCACTTTTGACGACAAAGCAAGTCTCTCACCTTGCAAACCCTACAATGGCAAAAAACTATCACAATAAAAATAAGTAGATGAGTAAATAAGGGTATACAGAGATTAGAAATTGAGGAGAAAATCAGAAGTAGGAGCGCAGGGGAAGGCAGGAAAGTTCAAGGAATTTTATCAAGGATTTATATTATTTGCAAGGGAATGCAAAGCATTCTAACAATTTCGCCAATGGGAAGTCTAATTGCTCGAGAAATTTAAACTTGCACATCTAATTGCTCGAGAAAGATGATTATGCAAGTAACAAACTTTTCCCATGGGGGAAGCCTTAACGAATCATAGGGAATAACAGATAAATCAGTTATAAAAATAACAAAGAAAGAAGAAATATGGTCTATTGAAGCTACCTCACCGTCTTCTTCGGCAAGTAAACCAAGTATGGAGCTTAAGGGTTCCATGGAGAAATGTTGTACACATGCTATCTAAAAAACAAGTTCCAAAATATAATATCAGCCAGGTCCTAGTCATGGTGACAAGAAAAATACAGCATATGAGAAGCCAAATGGTATAGACAACAAGAACTTGATAATTTACAAACCTTCAAAGCTCTGATGAAAGATGTCAATGTTCCCTCCTGATTTAAGAAGAAGTTTCTCAGAAAAATTGCAACCTTGTGACCGATACAGAACCCAGAACCCCACCTCACAAGAGAAGCATCAACGACTGCATTCATTCTCTCAGCTGGTGATCCCAATATGAACTTACTAGGGCATAGTTGCTGCAGCACATGTGAAGGAAGTACGTTTCTTGGAGCATCTAGTGTAGTGACTCCCATTATTAAAATCATTGGAATCTTACCAGCCCATTCACTGAAAGAAATAAACAATGGATTTAAAACTATGAACAAAATAAAAGAAGCTATCACATTACATGATGAATAATCCTCAAGTATAGAATTTCAGAAACTGTTCATAATAAAAAAAATCAGGGGGAATAAGACTTTTATTTGCAAATACAAAGCATCTTGTGCTATCTACTGAATGTACCTCTAGCATCAGTAAACATAAAAAATCAACTATTTCCAATATGAAGAATTTTCATATTGCCAACAACATAAAAAATCAACTATTTCCAATATGAAGAATTTTCATATTGCCAACAACAATTCCAGATATTCAGATGAATTTTTTAGAAGGGATACATTCACAAGAGAATAAAGAAGAAGAATAAAATAAATGAAATCCTTGCCGAATGCAGCAAAAGGAAATAAGCAATTTTATTTCCCCAAGAAAAGCATAATAGTTATTGAAATCAATCAATGAAATCTAGCAACAAAAATCACCCCCCACATCCAACAAATACTTTAATGAAATTGACAAAGTCAAGTCACATATCTAAACTTTGAGAAATCTACTATCCACACTACAAAGATGTTATGGGAGAGAGAGAAGAGACCTACAAGAGAGTGTATTAGTATCTATTCTAAATTGTAAAATTAAATAGAAAATAAAAAAAAAATATGAATACAGATTTAACATCTATCATTGCAAACTGCACTACAGTACCTCAACATAAGGATAAAATCTGACAACACAGACCGAGAACATCGCTCCATATCATCTATAATTATGATCACTGGAGAATTTTGGTTTCCTAGTTCTCTATACCATGATGCTAGGATGGATACATCAGCTGCCTGCACAAAAAATAATGTTAGAAGCAAGAGGAAAACTCGAGATGCTTCAACTAAATTTCTACTCCATCTAAATAGATCAACAGAAGGAAAAAGTTCCCCAGCCAAATCGGATAACACTCACATCCAAATTACCCATTACAAATTGTCTCAACAAACTTCTCAGGCAACCACCAACCCCATTCTTGGTCAAAATGTCTACTGAGGACACGTTAGCGACATGACATCCGTGAGATTTCAAGCAGAGGCCAAGCTCTTTAAACGTCAGTAAATCATCAACAAACTCCATATTCTCTGCCAACAAAAAACTCAATCAAGACCATTTACCATTCAATATCAAGAAGCGGCTCCACCACAAGAGTTTAGAGTAAAACCCAAACCCAAAGAAACAAAACATCATTGCATATCTTTCAATTATTGAACATTAAGACTTACTGATGAGAACCAATCCAGTGAAAAGTTGCTTGGAAGTAGTATGAGTTTGAATGGGAAAAGACCGAGTTGCTTGAGCAAAGGTAGGCACTCCGGACGACGTAATTGCAAGGAAGGATTGGCAAACCCAGGAATGTATTTCATTGAATACATTGGTGTTGACATCCCTCAGAACATCCTGGGCTCAGATACAAGGTTGAAAAGATAAGGAAATGAATTCTCAGCCGCTGTAATGGAACTCCATCATCTAATCAAAAATTGAGAAAGAAGACAAAATGCCCACAAACTATGAGGGTTGTCTCACTTTACTCCAGACCCCAATTTGAAATATTTGCAGTATTTCCAATTTCTAAACTTGGAAAATTGTCTCAGCTATCATTTGATCCTATATTGATCATGACACCAACAACCACAATACTGATAATAATAGTAATAATAATTCTTTTCTGGGTTTAGAGATTATTTATAGTGTCCAAAGTGAGACAATTACTACATTTTGGGGGCATAAATAAAATTAATCCGAAAAAAATGAAGTAATAGAAGAAACCTTGATGGAGGAATGAATTTTGGACCAAACGGACTCAAAAGCTTTGCGGGCGTCAACTTGGGCTTTCGCGGCGGCGGGCTTTGAAGGAGAGAGATCAATCCTCCTGGCGGCGCTTTTCCTGTGGGAATTTCGCGACGACGAAGCTTTGTGAAGAACGTAGAAAGGCTGTCGTTTCAAACCATTAGATCATAATAATCATTCGTATCATTTCTAGATAAAATCCACGATTTCTAGGGGGAAAAATCGAAGAATAGAACCTGGATATTGTCGTTTTCAGAGGAGTCGGGAGCTGTTGATGGAGGTTGTGAAGCTAAATCGGAAGCAGCCATTGCCGGAGATGGCGTCATCACCTCTCTCTCTCTCTCTCTCTCTCTCTCCGCAGTAGGCTCCGCAGTGGGGCAGTCAAGGTTAGGGTTCAAGTTCAGAGCTTTCTTTTTCTTCCCCCTTTTATTTGGCGGGAAACTACAACTTTATAGCTTCTTTTCCATACGGTCTTTTGCGCTACTTTTCGTTAGGTTCCTTCTCAGATCCTTGACACGTGGATAGCAAATATCTGTCAGGTGCGGCCATCGAGGAGCGAGTGTTGAACGGTAGGTCTCATTCACTTAACGGATTCGAATTTTCAATTCGAGCTGATATATAATATTTTTTGAGAGCTTTTCACTGTAGCAGAAAAAGTTAAATGTGACATTTTCTGAGAACTTTTTACTATAGAAACCTAAAACTGAAAACTCGAATCGATGAAATGAACGAGACCTAATTGTACATGATTTATTTACCCATATTAAAAAGTAAACTTTGCTTTTTGATTGTACTTTTTCTCATAATTTTTAATATCATAATGCATAAAAAATTAAAGATCCGTTTAGTTTGTAAATTTAAATTTTTAATTAAAATTAATATGTAATTTTATGTGAGAATTTTTTATTATAGTAAAAAAATTAAATGTGATTATTTTTTAGAGCCTTTTACTATAGTAAAACTCGAATCGGTGAAATAAATGATGCTTAAAACCTGAGAAAGTTTGATAACTTAGCCCTCATTTAGTTCGCTGGTTTGAATTTTGTTGATTTGAACAGAAAAATTCAAATTGTGTGGTTTAAATTGTAGTTAGCATTAGAATTTGGATATGCAGTTAAAGTTTTAATTTAAACATGGAATAAAATTCAAATTTGTGTTTGGTAGGTGTTAAGAGTAGATAGAGTTTGCACTTTTTTACTGTTCAAAAATGGTTTGAACGGTTGAAGTTAGGGGGAGAGCTAAACTCTAAGTTCGACTGTTTAATTCAGTTCAAACAGAAAATATAATTCAAACTACATATTTACCAAACACTAGTTCAAACTATGTTCACTGCTCAAATTGAGTTGAACTTAACTAAACTAGTGAAACAAATGGGGGCTTAAAAACTCACTCTAAATTGTTGTAAGGCGAGGAATTAAAGTGGGATTTACCAATAATTATACGGGATAAAATCATTTTAATACTTTTTATTATAGCGGAAATTTTCGTTAGTATTTTAACTTTAATAATATTAAAACGGTACTTTCACATATAAAAAAAACGTTTTTTTAGTCCCTTAAAACCGATTTTTAAGATGTACAATGTCTAAACTGTTCTTTTCATTAATTAAAGGGTTGTTTGGTACATGTATTCAAACTCAAACTATGATTCCACTACACTGTTTTTTTTCTCACAAAGAATTTGAATAAAAAAATTTCACCAATAGTTCTCTCACAAAGAATTTGAATCAAACTCAAACCATGATTCAAAAACACTTTCCAAATGGACCTTAAATAGAAACTAATAACTTTAAGAATATTTTTTAAGAACATTTTAACTTATTTTGATTTTTAAAATTTTTAAACGATTTAAAGTACTTTCATAAGTAAAAAAAGACTAACTCTTAAGTTGTGTTTAGTTGGAGGTAACGGAACGGAAAAGAATAAAAAGAAGTATTATTCTTTTATTTGGTTGGATTAAGATATAATAATGCCATTCTGATGGAATGACTTTTTCTCCAATTTGGTGAAATTGTCATTACTACATGGGTGGTGGAAAGGCCATTTGTATCCTTTAATTAAAAAAATTGCCACACTTTTCGTTCACTTCGCGGATTCAAATTTTTAATTTGAGTTGAGATGTGACATTTTCTTAGAGCTTTTCACTGTAGCAGAAAAAGTTATATGTGACATTTTCTGAGAACTTTTTACTGTAAAAACCTAAAACTGAAAACTCAAATCGGTGAAATGAACGAGGCATTAATCTATCGCAATTTCATACCATTCCTTCACCCCTTTACCTCACGGTCCTCTTTGTCTCCCAACCTCGTCTTCACGATGCACAGAATTTGTGGGTAAAGTTCGCTGGAAACCGTCACCAATAAGGTTCAAATCCTTGAGAGAAAGGATTTAAGGGGGTCATTGATTGATTCCCTGGGTTTTGAAAAGGCGTGCTGCCTTTCTTCTTTGCCGATGACAATGATTCTTCGTCGGTAACCATGGGTTCTTCTTCCTCATGGTAAATGGTACTAAGTTTAATAATTTTTTCATTTTTTCATAACTTAAAAAAAAATATCTATATTATTGTTGTTGTTAGTTTGTGAAAATGGTAGAATAGACATTTTATGTCTCAAAATCGGTATAAAGCACTAAAAATGTTTTTTTAAAGAAAAATGTATCTTTTTAATATATTAAAAACACATGTACCAGTGATATATTTTGTTATAATAAAGGGTACTAAAATAATTTTATTCCTAATACTATATGATTAAAAATCATTTTATTCTTCTTTTTTTAAAAAATTTGTAATAAATAGCCAACTTTTTAGACCTTTGAAAACAAATAACAAATTTACTAAATATTAGTAAATAATAACTATTTTTAGTTTTCCAATTTTATCCTTTTTACAGGCTTTTGTCATTTTTTTTCTCTTGAACATTCTCTCTCCACCTCTCCCTCTCTTTCTCCACCTCTCCTTCTCTCTCCTTCGTTCTCTTCTCTCCCATCGGCATGATCATTGGCTGTGTTCTGTCAATGGAGATCGGGAACTCCATTGCGATTCCGTCGTCTCCTCGGCCTCCATCCATCAATCTCCTTAGCCTCACGACGGAGTTGCCGCGAGAGACACTCGCTCTTCACTGGCCATAAACGACAGTGCGGTCTGCGATCTGGATGTTAGCGCCAGGAGAGAGAGGGTATGATAATCATAAAGCTCTGACATTTGCACCTCATGATGAAGTCACCAATGGTGAAATCATTCACGTCGTCGCCTTTCTTGTCAGAGAGTGAGTGAGTGAGAAGGAGATCTTTGCAGAGAAAGTATGACAACCATCAATCCCTTGAGTTTAAAAGGTCAAGATAGAGTTGTGTAGTCTCGCATCGCCTGAGAATGGTTACATGTGATGAGAAAGGACATCACCTCTTATTCCTAATAATATAAGGCTTTTTAGGAATGAAGCCCAAAAGTAAAACCGTGTAGGCTGGGGCACAAAACAGACAATATCACACCAAGTGCAGGCGCATGTCCTTACATATAGTATAAGAGACTGTACCCAATTAAAAGTGCTACCATCAATCCCTTGAGGTAAAAAGGTTAAGATACGATATGTTGTGTAATCCCGCATCACCTGAAGATTGTTACATGTGATGGCTTATAAGAAAAGATGCCACCTCTTAATAGTATGAGGCATTTGGAGAGTGAAGTCCAAAAGAAAAATCGTGCGGAGTAGGGCCTAAAGCAGACAATAACACACCAAGTGTAGTTGCAGGTCGTTACTGTTAGTGTTTATGCTCTTAGGAATAAATGTAACAATATTCTTTGAGACATTTGACTATTAATAAAGATTTATTTATTTCATATATCTATATATTGTCCTCTTTATGTTCATATTAGTTGAATGTATGATAAGCAAACTAAAAGTCTGAGACTGTCATTCTAAATCTTTAGGTCATGCATGTAATGTGAAGAACATGCGGAAGACAAGAATCTAAAGATGATAGTCTAAATCTTATGATCCACAATCGAGGGAATAAAGTTGGGCGCTTTATTCATGTTAAGATTGTTATGTTGTCTACTTCCTAACGGAGACGGTGTGTCTTGGTCGTCGGAGGTGGGACTCTATGGGTAGAGACATTAATATAGTTTCTAATGGTGAAATCTATATTGGGACGAACCAAAGTTGAATTGTTTTAATTAATAATTCTGTTTAAATAAAATAATTCACTTTTGACGAATTATATGTTGTTATCTTAATCCTGAGATGGATGATGAACCCGTATGCTTGACTTGTATCCTTTGATGTACTAAAGGGAGACATCCTGACAATATGTAAAGATACGCTTACCGGTACATTGGGGGTGTGACTCGTGTATGCGTAGATTGGTTATTCATAGATAGTGGAATCCATAGCTCCTATAAAGAATCAATGATATCATTTTATGCATTATCAGTGGATTAGAAAATACGAGCGCTCGGCCATTAGACTACTCTATGTTATCTAATGATTTACTGTTTGTAATGGTACGAATAGTGTTTTTCTGATAGTTTGATAATGGAACATAAGATAAATGTAATCGGGAAGGTAAAACGGAACTTGACCTTAAGTCGATTATGGATATCCTATGGGGATGATACACTCATGGACTAGAGCTAATCAGAGCTTTGTAAATACGCTATATAAATTGAGAGTGCAGCTCTAGGCTTTTAATGGAATAGCGCTAGAGTTTTATAATCATGAGACGGACTTGTTGGTTTACAAGTAGCGTTGTGATTATAGGAGCTTGATTTATCTATGTCCATCGGGTCCCTTTGCTAGCTCACATAATTTCCTGTAACGATACGGCGTATTTCTTACATATTGGTAACTTGTGTTATTTCCGTAAAAGAGGTTCAAAGTTAATATAAGATTGATTAATTCATGAGTGATTTATCGAGTGAGTTAATTGATAAATTAATTCTAGATAAGTTGGTTGAATTATTGTTTTAAGAGTTTTTAATATAGGAAGACTATTATATAACTATTTTGATCAGGCAACAGTTGAGAATGGTGTCCTAGAAGCATAAGATGTAATAGGATATTTATTATTTAAATAATAAAAGAGTTTATTCATCATTTTATGTGCATATATTTATGAATATCAAATAAAAATTCTGTGATTATTTCTGTAACCTTAAACATAGTATATAAGTGTTATATATGAGAGGATAGTGCTTGAGGATAATAATTAAAAAAAAACATTGTTCATAATGAATTTAATTAAAGTTCAGAATCTTTAATTAAAACATTATTAATACATGTCATTCCCATTTAGAATGGAACGGTGCTATCCGCACTGTTAATATGGTGAGATATTGAATGAGTGTATTTCGCATAATGAGATTGTGTGGAACAGGGACACGGACACAATATGAATTTCTAA